CCTCACCTCTTGTACTTGTCAGATTTCCCTAAGAAGAACCTTCTAAACTCTTAAGTGGAGAGCATGTGCCTGGCTACACTGTTCTGAAAGCAGAGTGGAGCAAGGAAAGGAGAGATGGGGAAAGAAAGTAGGTCACAATAATAACTACTTAACTTTCACTTAACTCTCTCATAATGTGTACCCTTCAACTGGGCCTCATATACCCTCAAGTACAGAATCCCTCTGTCCCCTTCCTCCAGAGAATAAACTTTTAGTATTGTGAGGTTCAGGAAAGTCACTCAGCAAAAAGGGGGAAGAAATTTCTGCTTCTGAACAGATTATTAACCAGTTCTCATGTTTTCAGCTAAATTTCTCATACCCATTTCCAGAAGTATCTGGCAAGCTAATAATGCAGCCTTCAGGAGATCCACAGTTTCAACTGGGCTGCCTTTGACGTCCTCTATCAGTGGCTAAAAATACAGTTATTTGTAGATAGGTAAGTCAATCTCCTTCTGTTTTCCAGTTTCTAAAATAACTTTGTTGCTATTTTCCCCTTTCCCTGTCTTTTCCATCTTTATCAATTATGCTCTGAAAGAAAAAAATTACTTCTTCATTGCTTCTTTGGGATTTCAGAAAGCAAATACATGTGTTCAACCCACCAAGTTTATTCAGGTATCTTTTAATTTATTTTTAAAAGATGACAAGTCCTCTTGAAACTGTGTGTTAGATTTGAAAATACAATCCCCAAGAGTATCTACTAATTTCAGGCAACATAAATTTAAATATATTATTTCCATTGGCAACTGTTAAAGATGCTCATAATCTAAAGGGTAAACTAGACCCAATTCACAGATAACTATGAGCAAACAGGGAAAGAAAAAAATATTTTGACAAACAGAACCAGGAAAGTCTCCCTGGAGGAGGTGATGTGAACATCATTTTAAAGGATGAGCTAAACTTCCACAGATATATAAAAAAGAACCATAAAATTCAAGACAGCACAAGCAAAAACAAAGAAAAACATCCGTTTCACTGGATTTTTTTGCTCCTTTCTTCCCTCAACAACAATATAACCCAAGGTCACATCTTTGAATCCAGCAAGTCCCAAGTAAACACATCTACTCCCTCAATAGGCACTGAAAATGACTCCTAAATCTGTTTTTCTATCCACTTTCCAGGGCCAAATACTTACCATACTTACTTTACTACTACAGTGCTCCATGTAACCACATCAAAAAATCCCATTATCAGTAAGGTGCCCTCCTTATCCACCTCCAAAACCGCTTTTGTATTCTGCATCTTCATAAAGATACTACTATGCATTGAGTAAATGCACCAGCAAGTAATTCCCAGATCAAGTTTGATTATTCCTACTTTCTCCCTTAATGCCAGTTTACAATTCGTACTGAATATATACCTTTCAATGAGAAGCTAAAATGAATACTCAGTGATTTCAGGATTTACACAGCCATTTTGTCACCAGTTGGAGTTGTAATATAATCGGAAGGCAAAATGAGTAGAGACCAAAACTGATCTACACTACTATTTTCTCATCATTCTTCTACTAGAATAGACATTAAGAAGGCATTAACTTTTTTATTATAGAATTGTATGGCTTATGATTAAGGGATAATTACAAAGTTAAATTACACCAGCTAAAAGGTATTACACACACAAGCACAGGGTGAGTAGTTCTTAAATTTAAAATTTCGCTTGCTTAGTCATAAGATTACATTTTTTAAAGGTTTATTCAAGCCAATTTTATGTAAACAATTTTCCTGAAGCCTGTCGGCATACTATAAAACCAGAGTAATAGAGGTGATCATATGCACAAGCTATTTTTAGCACTGGTCTGAAATATAGGAAAGTCACAAGCTGTATCTACTAATGATCCCATGGAAATTATCATCTCAAGAGTTTGCTTGATTACAAATACAGAGCAGAATAGACCAGGAGTAGTCAGACATGGCAAAAAGAAACATCCAGATTCCAATCATCCGGTCTTGCTTTCAAGATCTTGTTGATACACAAACCAACAAATTACTTTGAAGTCATTTATTATACAGTGGTTTTCATAAAAGTATTACTGCTGTAGATTTCAAAGCATTTAAGAGTTGTGGACATTTTATCCCTCTCTGTAAACATGTACTACTACATTGCTATGCATAACCACCTCCTTATGTCCCATGGTACAGAATGCCACCTAGTCATTCATCCTATAAACACATTCCCTCTTTTGGAAAAAGTGAAAATGATGATAAATAAATACAAATTTAGCACAACTAGTAGAAACATAAAAATTATGACAATATTCATTTCCTAACCCAAATTACCTTCTGGGTTGCTCTATTACCTAACATTTTAGTAAGGAAAGGAAAATGTATGGGAAGAGGAACACAATGCCTGTCACTAAATGGAGGGTAGGTGTGGAAAAGGAGTGAGGTATGAATCAGTAAAAATTTGCTTTTCTGGTTACAAGACCGACAACTGGGTAACACTAATTTGAAGCATATAAATTTCTCTTCATCTCTACTGGAATGGCCAAGTCGTTGAGGGGGAAAAAAAGGATATAAATATCATCCCATTGTAATGAGTTTTAAGGACAATCAAAATTGTTACACATTATCTAAAATATTAACCTACTGTAAACTGTACAACAGAGGCACACTATTCTTTTTAAGGCATAGTTCATAAATAAAATCTGAGTGCCAACAACATGCCAAGCACGGCAACACACAAGAAGAAAGTGCCTGAGCTAAAAGTGCTCAAAATCTCATGGAAAGACAAATGGGTAAAAAACTAAAATACAATGTACTAAAAAAAATATAACAGAGGCCTGTATGAATGCAGTGAGAACACAGAGGGTGTGACATTATGAAATATATATTTGGTCTTTCTTCTTGCTTCCTAAGGTAACTCCTAAAATCCTTAGACTCTCCAAGTGCTGTCTTTTGGTATGCGAATGATAGCTTCAGGGTAGGGCAGATAACCAAAAAGACAGAGGCAGGATTACAGGGTTGGGACTTTCAGCCCCACCCCACAACTTCTAGGGATGGGAGAGGCTGAAGGTCAAGTTGATCACCAACTGCCAAAGGTTTAATCAATCATGCCTATGTAAGGAAGCTTCTGTAAAAACTCAAGAGGACACAGTTCAGAGAGCTTCCAGATACCTGAACACGTCGAGGTTTCTAGGAGATAGTACACCCAAGGAAGGCATGGAAGCTCCAAGACCCTTACCCATACCTCACCCTATGCATCTCTTCATCTGTATCCTTCGTATCCTATAGCCCTCCACAATAAACCAGTAAACACAGTAAGTGTTTCCCAGAGTTCTGTAAGTCACTCCAGCAAATCAGCTGAAACCAAAAAGAGAGTCGTGGGAATCCCAACTTAAAGCCAGTAGATCAGAAGTTCTGGAAACCCAGACTTGGAACTGGTATCTGGGGAGCAAGAGCAGTCTTGGGGACTGAGCCCTCAACCTGTGGGATCTGGCATTACCTCCAGGTAGATAGTAGAGGCTGGAGTTTGTTTTCCATACACACTACCACAAACACTCCTTCAATGGCAGTTTAATTAGAGGGCACCCAGCTGGTGTGTGTGGAAAAAGAGAAGTTGATCACTCAAGTCTTCTGTGCTGATGACTGTTGTGGTGGTGTGAGAACACGGGAAAAATACAGACTGAAAGTTTTTCCAAAACAGGGAGAATGTCTAAGGCCTGCCTGGTGTTCAGAGTAGACTGTGGGTAAAAAGTAAAGTAGAGGTTCCTCTTCAAAGACTTTCCTCTCCATCTAATTAGGAATAAATAGTAACTTCTTTTAGAAGCAAAATTTATTCAAAGACCTGTGCTAACATTCTTAAATATCTGCTAGCCGTAACAAAGAAACAAATGTACTTTATGTTCTTAGCTCCCATAATTTAGCCTAGATATTTGCCCTGGCATGCTTATACTGGTCCAAGGAAGCAACAGGTCATAGACTGTTCTTCTTCCTTATTTGAAGGTGTTTTTACCTTTCTCAGCATTCCACAAGTTACTTCCTCCTTTCTTTGTTCTCCTCTGCCTTTGCCTCTTTTAAAAAGTTCTAAGTTGCTAGGCAATTGGGACAAATACAGAATGTGAGGTCCCGTTCCAGTCAACAGAAACCGGACACGGCAGTAGGGTGGACGCGTCAGGTTATAAATGACCCTGTCTCCTTTGTTGGGTGTACTCTCATGGCAGAACTGCTGGCGAGTGTACCCTTTCTGCAGAAAGTAAAAATGGCCTTGCTGAGGAAATAAAATTTATGTTCAAGTGCTATTTCTTTACAGCACCGGGGAACAAGCATTTCTAACATGTGTAATGGAAGTGATGATCTCTCAGACAAAAGAGTAAAGAGGAGAGGTGATGAAAAAGGTGATTCACTGTTAACACTGAAAGAGCCTTTGTAAAAATTATGAGAGAAACCTGACATAGCTGACTCCGTCTTGCTTCTAACCTCACAAGCTGTCTTTGCTCATTCCTGGTGTAGGCCAAGCAACTATGGGACAAGTCTAGTTTACAGTTTAAAATAAAGATGGTAACTGTCCCTTCCTGAAACAAACCTCTCCTTGCTCACCCACTGCCCGCCAAACTATTCTTCAAAAACTCTAGTCCCTGAATTCTCAAGGAGGAAGATTTGAGAAACAGCTCTCATCCTTCCACTCGGCTGACCTCATGATAATTAAACTCCTTCTCTGCTGTTCTCACTGTGTTGGCTTTTCTGGGCAGCAAGAAGAACCCGTCAGGCTGTAACATCACAGCTCGAATGTAAGACAGGATACATATTCTGAGTCTAAATAGTAATATACAGGAAATGGCCAAGTTGTACAGTATTGTTTTTTAGTGTAGTATATATTTATAGAGGAGAACCTAAACACTGTAAGTCTCTGGAGTAAAACATTCCAAGGTACAAGACGGACTTGAAAAAAACTTTAGTACAAGCTAAACACTAAATACTTTGATGGAAACGAAGAAAAGAAAGAGTAGAAGCAAACTGAACAATTACCTCCTTTTGTAGTATCATTCTGGGCCTGGATGCCATGATGCAATGAATTATGAATGGCAGAAAGAAGATCTGCTGCTTGAACCATCAATTTTTGAGCTTCTGCAACAGCACTGGTCTAGCAAATAAATCACCAAAAACATTCTTACATATTCTTTCACTGAAAGATATACATTAAATAGGAAAATCCTATAAACAATAATGAAATTAAATGCTTGCTGTAATGACATTGGTTTTCATAAACTATGTACTTAATACAGGATGTCCAGATCCTGTTAGGATAGAAAATGGTTTTTTTACTCACATCTATAAAACTTGTAGGATCAATTATAACAATAGAAAATATTTTTGGTTTACTTTTTTCTTTTTTTAATAATAAAAACCAAAGATGCAATCAACTAGAAAATGAGAAAATTTTCAACAATTCTATGTCATTCATCAAGGTGGGGGGGAAAAAAAACCGGGAAGAAATAGAATTACAGAAGTTAAATTAATGGTAAAAATTGGATCCCTACTCACCACTTATAAACTATTCACAAATTAATCTGTAATTGGCTTGAATTAGTGCAAAAATACAAAAAAGAAAAAATATTCACCATCTAAGGCTTGCTTTTGGTTCTATACAAATCTAACAATTAATTATGTAACTGAAGGTAAGAATAGTCCTAAAATTTTTACTTTCTCCTTTTCAATTCACAAAATATGACAACCTACAAGCAATTTCAGCTTCTAATGTATTATTTACAAATAAGTAAAAAAATATACTTCTTGAGAAGGTCTTCAGGGTTACTCTGGTATAAATACACCAAATGCTGAGTTCTCTATATCTGAGATCAGGAGCACTTCAAGGGAAAAGTTTCAGAACTGCATTACTCAGGCATTCCATCCAAAATCACTAAAACAAACAGACATATGATATTGAATGCCCTTACCTCTTTCTTAGTAAAGGCTATAAGCACTGTCAGTAACACACGAGTAAATTTCACTCTGCTGAATACTGCTAAACATTGTTGGTGCTAAAAAAACAAGAAAGGACTAGAAGTTAAAAGATGCAAAGTCCATGAAAGGAATTTCATTTAAAATATATTAACTCCTAAGTCTCAATGTTAGTAACGTACTACATTACAGACACCTTCGCTTACAGGCTTTTAAAAGCCTGAAAAATGAGCTGCAGAAAACAAAACAAAGCCTATTCTTTTGAAATAGGAATGTGAAGCTTCTATATCAACAGGACTGATCTTGTCCTAAGTCAAAAGTTACACTATTACCTCAAAAAGCTGATTTTATCTGCATTTTTAAAAGACTGATTAAAATGTGCTTTAAGCAGAGTCAGAAAATTTAGAATCTCGACAAAGGTTCAGCAACTTTTGACACTGTGGAGCTCTGACGCATCATCTGTGAAAGATCATATTTTTCTTCCTACCTCACAGGAATACTGAAGAGTTTTGAAATCATCTATTTGAAAGAGCTGTATTATCATTCTATCAAAATAAATACAAGGGAAATAAAATCCCTTGCAATGTCCAATTTTTAAAGAAATACCTTAAAAAGGGCTTCCATAAATTATAACGCAGTTCATAAAACTACAACATTAACAGGTAGACTTCTCTGATATTATCTACCAGAAAATAAGTTCAATTACTTCTAGTTCAACTTCTGGATCTCTTTCTTCTCCTTGTCGACTTCGAGTACTCTAAAATTTTAAAAAAGGTGAATTAAACACAAACCTGAAAAAATATTACATTACAAATATATAAGGTAAAACACTAATTTTTTGAGTATACACAACAATCTGTTTTTGGGAAAAATTGTTGGAGGAAAAAAGCTGTGTCTAGTATTTACGTTCCTCCTATTAATTCTATATACAGAAAGGTCATTTTGACATAAATTATAAAGATCATGCAAAAGAATTAAGTATTGAAACAGCAAAAGCAAAACAATGAAATAACATAAGCAGAAGTATATGACATACAGTACATTTTCCTTTAAAAGGAGCTATTAATTGAAATTCCTGATGCTCTCAAAACTAACCCTGTTAGAAAAAAACTGTAACCTTTACAAAAATCACATCATGAAAAAATAAAGTTCAATGGTCAATACTGATTTGTTTTACACTAAAATACAAAATATCTTAATACAAATGTTATAGTGGACAATTTTATTTGACCAAATACCAGTGCGGTACTACAGGAAGAGCTACTAGAAGTTGTGGGTTCTAGCCCTAAAGCTGCCATTTACATGCCCTTTAGTAAAGCTAAGACACAAGTTACTTAACTCCTTTGATCTGTATTTTCCTCATCTAAAAGTGGAGCACTATGTGTGTCAAATTGCCCAATTCACTGAATTGCAAAAATCAAAAAAAGAGAATATGAAGTTTGACAACCATATTGTTATACTAGCATTAAAAAGAAAAGTAGAAATACAACCTTTCCCCCTTTTTAATCTCTATGAAAAGCAGCAAATCATCAAGGTCATCTAGAAGGTTTTCACCAGATTTGGCATATTACCATTTACTGAGCTCACCTACTGTGTTCCAGACACTGTACCAGCTATTAAAGATACAAAGGTGAATAAGACAGTCCTTACCTTTGAGGAACTCAAAACAGTAGTGGGAGAAAAATACTATTCTTTTTGGTTTTTTTTTTTTTGAAAAATACTATTCTTAAAATAGTATAGTAAAAAACTCTAAAACACCGGCAAAAAATTGAAAGAATCAAGTGGGTTAAATTTTAATACACTCGTCTCTCTTTACCCATGGGTTGGATTCAATCAACCACTGATTGAAAGTATCCAGAAAAAAATTTTAAAATAGCATTTAAAAATATAGATTTTAAAAGTACAACTATTTACATAGCATTTACATCATATTAAATATTATAAGTAATCTAGTGATGATTTAAAGTATACAGAAGGACATAAACAGGTTATATGCAAATATCACACCATTTTACATAAGAGACTTGAGCATCCTTGAGTTTTGGCATCCACAGGGGTCCTGGAACCAATGCCCTGAGAATACTGAGGGATGGCTATACTTGAAAATGACATTCATTTATCAGAAACTCCTCTAGCAGTGTTCAAATTCATTACCAAAAAAAAAAAAAAATACAAAGAACATACAGGAGAAAGGTGGTTCTACACATTTGTAATTAGGTAAAGTTAACCTTACATTTAGAGGTGTACCAAAACCCTACATCAAAGAGAAAACATATATACCTTTACTCTTCTTTGCATGTCATCCTCCACATCTTTTAGCATGCCTAGAAAAAGAAACAGTAAGTTTTAAAAGGAAACATATGAAAATGTAAAACTTGTGAATTATCTTTAAAAATAATTTTACCTGTAACTCGAAGATCTGTCACACTGTTAGCCATTTTAAATCCATAAGTCATAGACTGAAAATCTTCCTATACAAAAAGGGAATAATCAGGCTCATGAATAGCAACAAAACCTTAAATTGTGGCAAAATATAAAACTTTTCTTTATAGTTCTCTACAAAATCACTATTTAATAAAGAAACAGAAATGGGAGGTCATCCTGCTTGTCTAAATATTACTAGGATACACCCAAGCTTTTCTTGAAGGCATACACATAAAACACCTAATATTGTCTCTGTCCTTACTTTCAGTTGCTTGTCCTTAGGCAATTTAATACGTTCATTTGCCATATAAGTGTAATGCTTGTGAAAATATCACAAAGTAATAATTCTCACAAAGTATTCTCACATTCACAGGTGAATAGTAAATATACAGTAATTACTGTTTAAGGACCAGGCTGCAAGATTTAGATAAGACTACTTAAAAAATTATTAAATGACTGCTTACAGTTAAGATTTCTCAAAGAAAATTATTCAAAGTGAGAGCAAAACCATGTTCCACTACAGTACACTGGAAGGAAAAAGACTGAGCCATTCAGACATACGACCCCCATCCCCCAAATCATTTTTTAAATGATTTCATTGCTGAGTCATTAACAAATTAAGTGATTTGCTGGACTTCCTTTGAAGAAAATACATTTACTGTCATCTGGCTGATATGATTAACAAGTCATAAGCCCCATTAAAACAGTGTTTCTGCCACTATAATTCCTATAAAAACATAGATAGGGTTAGGCACGGTGGCTTGTGCCTACAATCCCAGCACTTTGGGAGGCCGAGGCAGGCAGATTACCTGAGGTCAGGAGTTCAAGACCAGCCTGGCCAACATAGTAAAACCCCATCTACAATAAAAATACAAAAAAATTAGCTGGGCATGGTGGCGTGTGCCTGTAACCCCAGCTATTTGGGAGGCTGAGGCAGGAAAATCACTCGAACTCGGGAGGTGGAGGCTGCAGTGAGCAGAGATCGCGCCATTGCAATCCAGCCTGGGCGACAGAGTGAGAGACTCTGCCTCAAATAAAAATGTAGATAGAATCCTAAAATAACAGAATAATGGTTCAAAAGGGGATGGAGCCACAGCACAATTTCTGGATTCTTAAAAAAAACAAAAACAAAAAAAAAAAAACACAGCATCAAATTCAAGTGAGGTACTATATCCCACAAACAGTAAGAAAACAAACCCTACGCCCTTGGTGTCAAAGACCTCCGGGATATTTTACTAATCGAGTCCTTAAAAAAAAAAAGAAGACTCATTACATTACAAAGCTATATAAGCTTATCCTCTGGATGAAGTTTATAGTCTGTCTCTACTTGGACATCAAATAGGATTCTCAAATTTTACATCTCCAAAAAGAAGCTTGATGCCCCCTTTCCTAGCGTTTACCATACCACTAAACGGCACTACTATCTACCTAGGGTTGCTCAGGCTGAAAACCTGGCCTCGACTCCTCTTGTTTTTCTGCATCCTGTATCAAATCCATCAGAAAACACTGTAGGCTCTATCTTCAAATTCTAGTCCAACTACTCACCCTTTCACAGCTATCTTTAGTTTAAGTCACCACTATTGCTCACTCTTGTAACTACCTCCAGACAACTCCCCCACCTACCACACTAGTCCCTGCTATAATTTATACACCACCAGAAGGCAGAAGGATTGTTTGAAAATAAGTAAGATCATGTCACTTCCTATTCAAAACCTTTCAAGAGTTTTCTACCTCACAGCAAAATCCCAAAGCCCACCATGGCCTCTCTGGCCCTGCATCACATGAGCCAGTTTCCCTCGCCAACCTTCTTTCCTACCACTTCACATTCACTGCACTGCAGTCTGGCAGGTCTTTCTTGTTGTCATTCAAACATACTAAACACATTCTCCTCTCACGGCTCCCACACCAAAATGATTTTCTTCAAAATATTTACAAGGCTTCATCCCTTACTATATTCCAGCCTCTGTTCTAATGTCAAATCCTCAAATAGGGGTTTTCCCTATGCATTCTAAGACAGTACCATCCACCATTTTATATCCCCTTATCCTGCTTTATTTTTCTTCATGGCA